TACACCTAAGTCCTAGTTTCATTTCGAGTTTTGATTTTTTAATTCTTAACTGCAGAGAGGAAAAGGATGTACAATGTGAATCGCTCTAACATCTAGATAATCCGTCATGTAAAATTTACATGAAATTATTTCGAATTTTTATAATTCGATTAAAAAATTCATATATAACTTTAAGTAGTTTAAAACTATTTTGTTAAATTAATCATTACCTTTTAAATTATCTTTTTTTAATATTTGATATATAAGCAGTGTATGTAAAATCAAATGACCGAATCAATTAAGGATCGATTAATTAGCCCGCGTATCGAGCTATCGACCTGCTACTAAAGCTCACACGCTTCACACGTCGTAACCGAAACGGCCGGACAAATTTTCCAATCCAATTCCAATGATTTCGGGGATGAAGATGAAGGGAGAAGAGTCGCGTCGGGTCTCCATCTATCTTGATCTCGGAGTGCATCTCGAGTGCATCTCGAGCACAACCGTCGCCTCGCTCGCGGCTCATTCCCTCGCGGCTCACCTCTTTCCCTCTCCCCCCCGTTCAGGGAGGAAACGGGACTTCGGTCTCTCTCGCCAGGATCTCGCAAATTAGATAGTCTGGCGCTAAGCAGGCACGTGATTTGGCATGCTCGAGGACGTCTGCAGGGGTGAACGTGTCTGGTGGAATCTCAGTAACTCGGACACGGTGACTGCGACGCGTACAACCCCACGACCTCCCTCCAGGACGTCGCTGGCGCAACACACGAGATTCTGAAAAATCAGCAAGAAGCACACGCGTATCTTTAGCATCGTTGTCTCGGAAAGAAGAGGAAAAGGAAAGATGTTTCGAGGAGAGTTTGAATTATTTCTTTCATATGATTTTAAAGTAAATGTGTTTAAGTAAATGTGTATTGTATAGAGAAATATTGTAAGCGATAACGAGAAATATGTTTATTTTAATTAGACGCGTGTGTATTGGAAATAAAAATGTAGGATATTTTATGTATAAGATATCGCGAATTCGCGAATTACCTATCTATCAATGTAAATCTTAAAAAATGTCTTTATCAGACATCTGAGCGACAGCAGATGGTAAGATCCGATGTTTTACTCAAGCGGAAAACGTTCAAATATGCGAATACATATGAATCGAGAATGTATGAATCGAGAATATAATGAAACTTTCATGAAATAGAGATAAAGGCGAGACCGTATAATGTTTGAGGATATGTCTAAAAAAGAATGCAAATTCAAATTCAAGTTAAGGAAACTTTTTCTCCAAGAATACATAAAGCTTTTTCAGAATATTAACGGCAATGATAAGAGGAAAAATGATTTTAAGTGTATTACATTTCAAAAAACTTTAACTTTAAAATAAAATAAATTTGCAACTGCATTTGGTTTGCAAAAAAAACGACGTGCGGTAAAAAATGGGTATAAAGGTCGCATTTTCTCCGATTAATCGTATCTCATCATTGAGTGAACGTGAAAATTTAAGAAAAGGATATTTTATTAAATGGCTATAGTATTACAATCATTACGTTTTTTGTTACCCATACAGTCAACATTACAGAGTATACTTCAAAGGAGAAAAACAAGATCGATGATATCGCTGTCGTCTGAGCGGCGAGACAACTAAAGAGATTCAGTTCTTACCGATCGATTCGAAAATCGGAAATCGAAGGAAAGATGCGATGATTGTCTCTTCGCATTATCGTCCCACCGCTAGGACTGTTCTTTCTTTCTTTAATAAGCGTCAGGGATGGCGGACGAGTATAACGTGAGATTTATAAATAAATTAAATAGAACAAAAAAAAAAATAAAATGCATTGCGAGATTTGGGACAATACAATATGTAGATATAACGATTTGCAGATTGATTTGATTCATGTAAATTCGCACGTTACATTGACAGCAAATTGCAATCGTTGAAAGGCAATGCTTCGGATCGAATCGGGTGGGAAAATTGCTTTGAAAGTAGGCAGTGTTAATAAACACACGTATTTCCTGAGTACGACAAGTACAAATAGTTAAAAATTCGATTCACTCTCGAATCATTATTGGATTGTTATTATTATTGTTAATTAATTGGAGAAAATCAACGATTAAAAATTTATAAATTAATTCATAAATAATCGGAATAATTAAGTAATAATTATCGGCAGTAGTTATTAACAAATAATTTATTAAATTAACAACACATCTGTCTATGTATTTGTATTTTATATATAAATGCATTTTTAATTGAAAAATGTGTCTCCCTTAAAATTGGGAGGCTTAAGAAGTCAAAGCAAAAAATTCCAAATGTATTTAAATAGACTTTACTAGTTCATTCAAGAATAATCTTCATAAATGTTTATCAATACTTTGATAAAAAAATGTCCTTTTTCTATAATCGATACTAAACGTTAATGAACGATCGTAATATTCAATGAATGCGATGAAAATTGAACCCGACTCGATCGAAACGGCATAAATACACTGTGCTTATACGAAATCGATCGGGATATATGTATTTTTCGAGATCGGTTGATGCTAAGCGCTTCGTTACACATAAAAATCAAATTGAAGTCGATCATGCTGGATTCGTCGATCCTGACCGCTTAAGCTACATTAAAAAAGAATTATTGTCTTGAGCTTAGTAAGCAGGCATGATCGATCGTGCAAGTACGAAGCGATGTTTAAGAAAACGCTGCGGAATAAATATAGATACATATAAATATATAGACAAGAGAAGCTTACGGAAATAACAACGAACAAAAGTACACCAAGCACCAAGTGGACTTATCCGGTTAGCGAATAATTTAATTGACCTACATACATTAACATTTCTTAAAAAAAAGAAAGAACGTAAAAAGTAAAAAAAAAGGAACGCAAAAAAACTAGCTTCAACGAATTATATATCTGTCCTCATGTAATATATCTATCTTTCTCTATATATATAATTTATATATTTCTGCATATATAAGCCTTTCCTTCGCGTACTTTACAAAAATTATACAATTACATAAGCTAAACGCAACGGAATGATTTCGTATTCTCCCTCCCTCTCCCTTGCTCGTTTCATGAATACTCTTAATAGTGATGTAGCCTCTTGCGAAAGCGAAAGCTATTGATAAAAATTTCAATGCTACGACCTACGAGATTGACCCTCGACTAGTACGACTGGATCCAATCAAAATTCAGTACAGGATTTTTAATTTATATAGTATTAAGTATTCGAATTTCAAGTAGTTCGAATTTAATCTAACAATTGTTTTTAACTGTGATCACTTTTGACGAATCTATAATATAATAACTAATGATTATTATATCAATACAAAAATCATTGTGCTGGCCTATTTGCGAAGATTCTATATCGGCAGCATCTTTTGCGCAATCAATCGTAGATTGCTGTGCTAAGCAATTGGCAATATAAAGTACATCGGTATGCGCTAAATTCGAATCCAGTCTTAGATTATTGAGAATATCCCGATACTTCGACAACTCGTCCAATTCTAATGAGAATAATACTGACATGACGTAGCCATCGCGACCATTCGTACTCGCGTCTCCGCAAAGGATCATTAGGCACCCGTCGTAATGATCGATGATTAAACGTAATGGAATATCCGAATGATGACTTGTCATCGTTCGGCCGTTCGTTCATTATTCTATAATGGACGATTCGCTCGTTGGATGTAAGTGCGGAAGTTATTAGTGAATGCGTATAATTACGCGTTTAAGATTCGGAACGCCCGGAGATGATAATTTGTCCACTGACGATGCAATTTAACTTGCAATTGACAATTGCAGTTCATGACTTCTCATTTCCATCGTATTTTTAAAGAGGCATTACTATGAATACCACCATTCGACACGCATATTGTTATTTTTATGTATCAGAGCTATATTGATTATCATTTTTTCACTAATAAATGTAAAAGAGAAAACGAACGTGTTACATGTTATTAAATAAATGCGAAATGGCGAAATCGAGCTGAAGAACAAAGCTTAAAGAGGAAATTAGATTCCTCATTCAATTAGATTAATCATATGACGATATTTTGTATAAATAAGTGATAATGAAGGCAAAAATTAAATTAAAGAAAGTTGTAGAAAATAAGTCGGGCGTTCCAGTAAAAAACCGATATTGTTCTAAGTTTAAACCGACGTTGCAATGATTAACAAAGGATAGCTGCAAAATCATCATTCGCAAATTGCAAATGAGATACACAGAAGTCACAGCAGGCTGCTATATAATTGCAAGCAAAGAAAAGAAATGCAAGAGGAGAAAATAATCTGACTAGAACGGAGGATAGCTCGACTTATGACTAATGATACTATTGTAGACTAGAAAATGCAAAACTCACTTTCGACTGACAAAAAAAAAAAAAAAAAAAAAAAAACAATAAATGGCGATGCCATTTATGCGTACGCGCTGTAAAACCGTGCATCTCCCGACAAGATCGCAGACTGAATCCGAGTAGTCGCAAAAATCATGGAAGATACAGCTCGCCCCTACAACCCCTTAAAAAATACACTAGTATGTTGCGTACATATAATAATGCGTGTGTTGACTCGCAACGATACACGTATAAATATTATGCTTGTATGACAGAGCTCTCTCTCTCTCTTTCGAAGCATAGCGTGGTCGCCCGTTATAAGGCCCACTTATATGTACGAAATATGTACGAAAAGAACCTACGTCTCTCTTTTTACGAAGAACCTTCTCAACCCTCCTAAAATTTTCATTTGTGCGCTCTCGATTCGGCTCGGGTGTTCCGGTAATTCGTAATAATCAGGATGTCACTTCACGCTAGGATCTTTCCGACGACGTGAATCTTGTCGGAGAAATAAAATGATGATCACGTTCGATAAAATACGCTGAGAAATTTGGCACTATTTTAAACTATTGGTTTAAGCTACCATTAATATTAAAACCGGTTGTCTGAGAAGTCTATTGGTTATTAATTATTATATTGGTTATTATTAGTCATTAGTATTAGTCATTTAGATGTGATGCAATATTATTCTTTTTCCGACAGAGATCCCGTCTTACAAATTTGAAGAGCGTCCTCTTAACATTACAGTATAATATACGCTTACATATAGACGATACATGCCCTCTACATTTTTATCGAGTTTTTATGAAAATAAATTGGCAGGTAATAGGCACCGTGTCTTTCCTGTCATATATCGTAGATTGTTTATCACTTTGATCTCGATTGACAGTTTTACACTGATTTGTGTAGCTGTGTTTTTATCGAGAGAATAAATATTCCAAAGTTTAAATCGATTTTGTCAGTTTAAGTTTCAATACTATGATTAGAATTAAATTAAATAATTATACTGTATTAATACAGATGTACAAACTCGATTTTCACATTTAATTACGAGAGATGGCAAAATTCTCAGTAAGATGCTCTTTTCATACCTTCAGATAAAATTAATATTGAGATCAAAGTAACTTCAATCTAAACTAGAATATTTTTTTAGAGTATGACCAAAACTCTATATCTGGTCGATGAAATATCGAAAAGTGCTCTATTTTGTTTCTTCCCTCCCGAAATGAAAACATTTCTTATGCCGAATAATCGATAAAGAAGACGATCGATCTACTTGCGAAATTACGAATAAGGAAAGCGATATCGCTTCTAACTTATAACGGATTAATATAAACGTCATCATATTATCTCTCAACATTCCAACTATCCTTTTGTTAGACCTTACATACCAAAATAGAAAATTCTCGAACTAAAAAAAGATTCCCTTAGCACCTTTTCGTGAATCATGTAACACTCGCAGGCTACCTATCACAGATCCACCAATTCTGAAAGAGCCGAAGGCGTTTCATTGGTCGAATCTTAAAAAAATATTGCCATCAGAGAGGCATCATAATTATTCTTCCGTTCGCTCTTTCTTCTCTTCCTGAGGGACAATCGCTGACCCAGGCATATTAAACACAGAGAATGATGTCGCAATACCAGCAGATTCTGAGGTTTTCATCGTATAGAAGGCAATAAATACTTTTCGAAAATTCGAAAAGTTAAACGGGATAGGTATATACGACTTATACAATTTTTGAACGAGTATTGCACATCAGTTCTCGATCTCGATCATTATCCTTTCTTTTTTTATCAAAATATCATTTTTTTCGGTCTAGCCGATGACAGCCAACTTGCATGATTGTAAGAGGCGATCATATAACTGGTACATTCTGTAAGATACATTTACAGACAACTAAACATGATATGCGAGCGCCTTCTACTTTGATTGCGCTCTTTGATTTTACATTAATTCACAGTTCGGAAGAAACTAATGAGTATATAGAATAAAAAGAAATTTCGCTTACAAAAATGGTGTTTTACAGAAGATATTATCTCCTAAACTTTCGTTGATATTCTCGTTACAATCATCGATGAATAATGAGACTTCTTCAAAAAAAGAAAAATATAAACTTATATAATATTTAGTCGACTAAACGACCCATCAAGCTGCCTATCAACACTTAAAAACTATCTCCAAAAATTCTTCACTGGTTACAAGATTTCTCGCTCACATATTCGAGCGAGGAAGCTTACACGAGCGTAAGTCAAAAAAAGCGAGCAACCTTATTAAAGCTACTATTATGAATAAATCGATTCTTGTGAGCTAAGTACTTTGCCCATGGTGAGGACTAATAATTCCGTATGCAGCAGAAGATATGTTCTAATACTCTTTAAAGCGTCTAAACAAGTGCCTTTGATTTATATGCTTCAAAAAATTACAATTACTTTGATGTCGACGATCGCCCTGTAGTTCTGTAATTTTTCTGTTTATGTTACGTAAACATTTAGTCTCTCTCTACTCACAAGAAAAACAAGCTGTTAATGCACATTTTTTCTTCGTTCCAAATTTATCAAACATCATTTGAGAATCCTCAACATCAAAATCAGATTTGATTCATAACACTTTTTCAAGCTTTTAATAAATATAAAGTATAAATAAGTACGAATCAAATCAAAAGTAATTAAACACATACTCCTAAAAATATCGAGTTGTGAAACGAACATTGAAAGCGTCGTGTATATCGTTGTTCAAACGAGACGATGACTTTCAGACTTGGTACAATCAAAAGCGAAAATGACGCAACGTAACATTTACGCTAGTCAAAAAAAGAAAATATTCTGAGAATCACCGTCTCGGAATATTTATTTTTCTTGATATTCTTTTTCCCTTTTTCTCGTCGATCTTCTGTTTTTGCATATTAGCGGTTTTCCAGTTGCACTGTCTCACTAATCGGGAATCGGGAAGAGATATAGCAGAACTAGGGCAGATAGGAATGTGGCAAAAAGCATTGCGGACAGAACGCGGTCCTGAATCGTACGGGGTGAACCTGCCGACTCTTCGGTGCCACTCTCCCCCTCATCACGAACAAGGAGAAGAGCGGTGACGAGACGCGCCAAAGCCTCCAGCCCGTACGCGTCCATGTAACCCATATCCATGATTGCATCCGCGTCCAATAACACCTCCTGCAACACCAACAACGATACTACTCAGTCCCAGTTTCTACTTTACCGTATTGCGAGAATATTTCTCACATAGCCTTAAAACGTATATTTCTGTCCTCTCCGAGGAAGGCCCTATTTTTGTACCAATGAGAAAAGAAGCGTTCCTCGGGGGATAGCTATTCTGTTATGTCCCGGCCTATCACCATGTGGTAGAAGGAAATTATTTGCCTTCGTAAAAGAACTTTTGATAATTGATTTATTTCTTCTTTCTATTCTGAAATTTATTTTGTACTAGTGCTTTCAAAATTAAAATTAATTAAATTTATTTAGCCATTAATAATTTATATCAAAAGTTCCATCTAGAAAGCAACTGAGGCATGTCAAAAGGAAGAAGGGATAGGAAAAAGCAACAGTAATGTAGTAATATTTTATATAACAATTAGTGAAGAATTACTCGGATTATTTGTACAATTTAGGATAGTCCGTGGATCGATGAGTTAATCGATGAGATATTCGGATCATGATAGGAAAGGTGAGAGCCCGAAATACAGATTGTTCCCCGAAGAAGCGAACACAAAGGCTGCGTTCGGGGAGAGCATTATTAACGCTATCACATCATTCTATCTTTATCGCTCATTAGATATAAATTAAGGATAGAATGACGTGAGAGCATTAATATAATAGTGCGCTCTCCGAATGCAGCCAAAAGCGAATTGGAATCTAGGCACATGCAACTAAAGCTTCTTCGCTAATTCATTTTTCTTTTCTCCTGGTCTTGCATTTTTTAAATTATACACCCGTCTTCACTTATGCCTTCTTAAAATCAGTTTGCAATCGATTAAAATCAGATAAAAATCGGGGACTGACTAGTAGTCGTTGAAAGTGTCATCGAGAAATGACGGCTAAATTGCCGAAGCATTAGTCACGACGTATACAGACATTCGGTTATATGAATAATGTGCGATAAATTTTTTTTCGTCCGACCATTTACTAAGCAGATTTGATAGATCTGATCTAAGTACACTCGATGAAAGTAGTATCCTCGATTGATAATCGTGCTTCGTAAAGAGTAAGTTTTCGCACTGCGTCTTGTATCCAGTTTTTTACATTCTACTCTTCTAACGAAGCACGTATGATCATACAGTATTGATCATACAGCATAATTACTATCATAAGTCTCTTGCCACATCACCATTTGTTAAAGAAAAAACAGAAATATCGGATTAATTTGTTCGATGTGGAAGTATCCACCGGATCATCGGACATGTTCCATGATGTACACTAATGATGACAGCGTGTCTCATGCATGTATAGTATACCCTGAGCGAAAGAGAAGCACAAACTTCTTCGAAACTAGTTATCAAGTTTGATAATATTTCTTACCTCAGCGACGCCGATCTTCCGGCATGCTTCGAGGAAGTTGTCAACGTTACGCCTGCATCGTGCCATTGTCAGCTTCGGCTACAAAAAATTTTCAAATCAATCTATGGATACACGAAGTATATGGATTCGAAATGGCAAATTGTAAAAAGAATACTTACGACAGCGGGAGAAGGAACATGTATACTAGCAACCGCTCGTGGTCTGACATGATTCGCTAAGTGGCAGAGAACAACGCCATCCGTTAACGCTGGTGCGAGGTCTTCTGGCATTGCCATTTTCAATCTTGTCTCTATATGCTGTTAGATAAATACAATATTCTCGATTATGTTAAATGTAAAAATAATTACAATTGATTTTCATAATGATGCTTACATTTCGTAGTTGTTCGATGAGATCAGCTTCTTCTTTGGCCCGCTCGAACTCTCTTCTCATAGTAAAGGAATATTTTTCAGGCACATTACTATTCCATGTGACGGATCGCGGAGATTTTGGACTACCGCCGTTTCTACTGGGACTCTTGTTGCCTAAAAAAACATACGCATACTATGAGCATATTGTATAATCAACGTTCTCCTATATTACGTAGAATGTATAAGAGAATCTTCTTTTAAAATTACTCTTATACATCAATTGCAAATGCATTTATCTAAAAGCAAATCTATATAATCTCCTCTATCTAATCTCTAATCTGAATTTTGTTTGCTCTAAATAATTACCTTCAACGTAACCAACAGCAGTTTTCACCAGCCTGGGCGCGTGCACTGGACTTGAGTTTGTGGACAGAATACTACTCGAAGTTTTGATGGGCGAGCTGGGCTTTTTGTACGGTTGCTCGAGATATTTTCCATTTTTATTATTGTACTCGCTGTTACTGCCATTGATAATCGGCATGTTTTGGTAATTTATTCGTGACGGAGTAACTTTTTGCACTGGCCTCTTCAACGCGTTATCTTCGTTGAAGATTTGTTTGCCGGTCAAAGCTATGGTTTCTTTATTGTTACCAGTATCGGTCTCATTCTGCGTCTCGTTGCCTGGAGGTGTCACTTGCTCGCGAGGTCTGTACACGCTTGGACCTTCATTAGCTCTTTGTTGCTTTAGAGCTTCTTTGTACTCCCTAAGAATAAAATAATTTATATCAAAATGTCACAATGTGCATATGAATATGATATAATGATTTTCGTAAATGTTATCTAATGATCCTTGATAATAGAATGGAAATATAAATGATTAAAGCAAGACAACTATATATAAAATACTGAAAGCGTTAAAAATTATTAATAATTTTACAATTTATTAATCCTCTAACTTGCAATATTTTAACTCTTTAAGGTCCAGGTCCATATATGTCTCAGCATGTTTAAAAAAAATTATATCTTTGATAATTATTAAGCTATTAAAATCAATTAGGACTCGTTTTAAAAGGAAAATTTTAAATATTATATTATATTTTAAATATCGAGAAATAATCCAATTTCAATATCAAAATTTCCATTAATTTCAAAATAAATGTTCTACTAAATGCAGTCATTATTTTATTTTTTGCATCCGTTAAATCCGCTATTTCGAATTTCTATATTTTTATATTTTTATTATATTCAATAATCTCATGAACTTAATAAAAATTATTATATAAAATATCTCTATTGAAGTATGTCTCTATTTTCAAAAAAGATCGGACTTTAAAAGGTTAAAATAAAAATAAAAAATAATTCTGAACTATATTTTTATAGAAAATAGATTTTAACTCCAATTTCTTAAAAATTATTATTATAATTTTATATGTTAAATATTATATATATATATAT